ACTATATATATAATTATTATAATACTATTAGTATAAATACTACTATCATGCTATAGCATGAACCACCAAAACAGTGAAATTTTGAAAACTAAAAAAATGACAGCATTTTGAAATTTAAATATCGATTTTCTTCGTGCTTTCTATCCTTGGGTGGTAAATAAAAATCAAAAAATACACAGACATTTTATATTTTACATTTTATACACAGTACACAGACATTTTCGAAAGTGCATACTTTAAAAAAACGTGAAAAGAAAAATGGATTTTTCTAAGCTGGATTACAAGAATACCTAATCCAAATCATGTGTACTCAGTGCTCTTAAAATATACGCGGAAACTGAGTAGGACAGAGAAATAATAACCGTACCTAAAGTCAAGACTTCATTCATACTATTCCAGCAAAAGATCAGATAAAAGTTAAGTATGTTTACTATTTACATTCCTCTTCGAAGTATCCTTGACCCTGAGTTGCGTGTACGTATCATTAACGCGAAAGAAAATTATTTTCCCAATTACTGCGAATTTTTAAGCTAAAGGTCACTCGGGGATCACTGCGTAGTAGGTCTTGGAATTCGTTTCTTCGTCAACTATAACGCTATAACCTCAAAAGTACACGCCATTTAAGAAAGTCTAGGCGACCTGCATTTTTTCTCGAAATTTTTATTACCGCAATTTGTTTTCCTCGAAGGACACGTTAATTTCTATTCCAATAATTTTTCTATTAAATAAGCGTAAATGTCTCAAAAATCGACTCGACTGTCACGTTGAGCACACCCTGTATACAGTGCGTGTGAAATAATTCGGAAAATATGAAAAATACTAAACAAGATAACGAAAAATAACGCTCGAGCTGCTCGTAAACAATTAAAGTACGGAACAATGGATCAAATATTTTGTCGGCCGTTTCGGGTGATAACGAAACAACTGTTCGACAGGTGATATGCTAATAAAAATCGTCATAAATCAACATTAGATCGGTGGCTGGCTATTCCAATCCAGCGACACGGTTCACGTGTCAGAATTTATAGAATAACGATTCGCTTTCTGCACGAGTGATTAATTACGTTCGATCGATATCGCGGGCAAAGGGAAGAATGGGGTGAAAAAATAGGGGTGAGAAAGGGAGAAATAGCGTGTGACACTTCGTTTCGAATCCTCGAAAGGGGTTGATTGAATTTTATTAATGTCCCGTCACTAAGTTCCGTCCTTATCGAACGCCATTTCGATGATCCTTCCGACCATGATCGATGCGTTTTTCGACCAGAGATATACCGTGACGAATCCTTCGTTCAGAAAAATCACGAAAAGTAGGAAAATCTTGGTGGCTGGTTTACAGAGTCGTGTATTAAGCGACGATGGTCGTATTTCTTATTGCGAATCGCGGCCAGATTAAACAGATTTAGATTACTGTTGCGTTTTCTTTTTAACGAATATTTTGATAAATGAATTAGGCAAATGGTTTTCCGTGGCGATACGGTTCTTGATAGCGTCGCGACGCATTCGAGTTATGTCCGATTATGGTAATGGGGTAATTTGGAGAATAATCTGTGGTAATGGTTACATAGATTTTTAAATATATACGTGTTGATGTAAGAAAGGAGCGATGTATGTAAGAAAGGGATGAATGGAACAAGTATGTATGTGGGATTGGAATAAGTACGGCCCTGAAAGAATGACAAGTGTGTTTGGACTTAGGATGGAAGTGACCACGTGCAAGCGAATTAACTGTAAAGAATGTTTATGGTAGGGTCTAGCGAAAGTTTAGGGATGCGTTCAGAGTGATTGAAGTACCTGGCCCACGGAAGTTGCGTGACAAGGGGGCATGATTTGAAAGGAAAGCCTGAGAATGAAGGCTTTAAATAAGGGTACAAGGGCGCGGGCAGCCCCATTCTCCACAGGCTCGAGAACAGTCTCCACGGTGTACGGTCTAGAGTCGACAGTCATGAACAGTCTACAGTGGTCAGTCCTTTACGGTCCTCAAGAGTCTTTAGGAAGTTGCTAATAGCGTGTCAGTATGGGAATAAGAAGTCAAAGTTGAACGTGCCCATAGCGAATTCTTCTTGTTTCATAGCCGTCAATCTACGTATAAGCTTACTGTATTTTATTAATAAGTAAAACAGCGCTATTTTAGCCAATCCATTCAAACCGATCCCCATATGTATGGGATGAGTATGACGGTGCGTTACCAACTGTCGAAGTCGAAGCGCTTTCGCGCCGCTTGGCCATTCATCGTCATAATATAAACGAAGCGCTATCGCGCCGCTTAGGATTTCTTGACATAAAATAGAAGAAGCGCTATCGCGCTGCTTGGGACCTTTCGTACCCACTTAGAGGCAGCGCGGTCGCGCTGCTTGGGATTTGACGTCAGTGTTTTGTCAAAACCCTCTGGGACTCAAAACGGTTAAACAGCAAATATACTCCCGTGCAGCAGTGTATATTTTTCGTACCAAAGGATTGACAGAGAATTCAAAGCCGTCGAAGGTACCCCGCTCATCCACCTTCGACCATCTATCACGTGCACCCGGAAACGGATAAGTATCTATCAGAGAGGTCATTGACAAGGATGTTCCAACCCCTTAATTGATCCCTGCAGTCGTATTTCGATCAGAAGTCGACGTGGACACGCCCCGAATCGAGATGTGCATCCCTCTTCTCGGATGTTAGAGGTATCCTATGGTATCCTTGCTTTAGGTTCATCAGTCGCCATAAATAGATCGTCAAGGGACGGAATGGAACGTTCTATGTGAAAATGTAGCAGGATATTACGACAGACGGGAGAATTCGGCTGCCATAGCTGCGGCTGCTGCTATTTCAAGGACGCATGATTTCTGGGCTTCAGAGGGCCTGATTGAAACACCAGCATGTCTGCTGCGGTTGTGTTGCTCGTGCGTCGTATCGTCCCTCTGTGCTTGGGTTTGCTTACGTGAATTCCTAAATAACCTCGCAATAGGACAGTCGTAGCGTTCTGTCTTTGTTCCTTCATATACACACACGAGCGTCATAGCCAGGGAAACAGGGAACTGGTCGACCAGGATACTCGTCAGACCATGTGATTCGTATTGTTTTTGTTCGTTGCCTGTTGGGGCAGTCCCGCGTTATCGACCGTTTGGTGGTACTTATGAAACTGAGTATGGTCACGGGGTAGAAGGATGTTTATTGGGATTTTTAGACGGATATTGCAGTAAAGTATACATGCAATTCTTTTACTTTTTCATATTCGTGTCCCATGATTTAGAAATATGACCCATAAAACAGAATTCAATTTTTCGTTAAACGAAAATAGTTTCAAATTAATCGAAGCACAAATCTATTTAAATGATTGGTCTGAAGGAAATAAATTTTGGTCTAGTAATCAAACAATTTTCAAATATAAGTGCTTTTTACGTGAACAAATACATAACTAATAAAGGAAACCTAAAGTAGAAGTTCAATAGAGAAATACGTTTTCAGATATTGCCCAGTTGTCGATTCTCTGTACTATTGACATTTTGATGTCACTATTGTGAAGTAATACTTAATTTCTGTACTCGCATAATCGGTCATTTGTATAATCAAAATTCGCACAATCGACGTTTTATTATTATTGCCTAATATTTATTATAGCAAGACGAAATATGTATTCTAATTTCTAATTTCTGTATTCGCATAATCGGTCATTCGTATAATCAAAATTCGCACAATCGACGTTTTATTATTATTGCCTAATATTTATTATAGCAAGACGAAATATGTATTCTAATTTCTATTTTCTGTATTCGCATAATCGGTCATTCGTATAATCAAAATTCGCACAATCGACGTTTTATTATTATTGCCTAATATTTAGTATAGCAAGACGAAATATGTATTCTAATTTCTAATTTTTGCATTCGTATAATCGGTCATTCGTATAATCAAAATTCGCACAATCGACGTATTATTATTGCTTAACATTTAGTATAGCGATATTTTTGTAAATCCGCGTTCAACTATGATGAAAACTGCGTTTACTGTATCAAAATTTAATTTTACATGGCAAAAGTGATTTTTCTATTTCACGGCGCTATTTTCTATTCTCTGTCAAAATGATGGCAAATAAATCCCTTTTTAACGTTATTTTCGGGACACCGGGTATATAGACGAATCGCAGTCGATTTTAGTTTGGAAATTCTGTAGTGTCGTAGTTGCTAGTTTCCCGTGTTTTTCGCGATCTACTCGTCACCACACCGTGAAAGTGGACTCGTTTTACAGTAGTCACGTATTCCAGCGGTCACTTCACGCGGGATGAAACCCCAGATAGAGGGCAGCACGGTCGGGGCACGGTAGAATTACGTATGAAACGGGAGAACGTGTAATTATCGAGATACGTTCGAGCAGAAAATTGGAACAATCATAATAATTCTAGCAACAATGATAACGATAACATGAACGATGATAACATCGATAGGAATAACAATGACGATAATAATTGTTGAATTTATCTATATTATTTTGGGAACTAACGTTCCGTTATTTCATAATTTGCAACTGGCCCGTTAACAGTTGCTGCGAAAATTTGCTATTGAAATTTTGGCGAATTATGTAAGTGGTTTATTGTTATTTGTTATACCACACATGTATTTGTATAACCGTTTGCATTCGAATTAATTGATATACGATTTCTTTGCAAAGCGGTATATATTGGTGTAATTTATTGTTAATGCTAAAATTCGAAAATTTGATTGGTAACGATACATCTTCGTTTAAAAGAAAATGGAGGTAATTTTACTCGAATTTCACGAAATAGATATTTCAAGCAGGGAATTTATAATTAAATAGAAATTGAAATTTACTGCTAATTATTATAAATTAACGATTCTCAACTTATTTTTTCCTTTGGCAGTTTACCAATATGTGATTAAGTTATATTTCTTTGCAAATAATTTTAAAATTTGATACTATTTGGTTCACTCTTGGTGGTGCACGTTTATTGGTTGAGAATCACTGTTGTAGGTTATGCATTTAGAGAAGAAATTGCTCAGGGTAATAGAATATTTATTCAAGATTATAATGGATACAGGTGTTACATATGGTACATTGTTTATGAAATTATATTGACATGGTTTGCAAACTTTTAATTGACAACATAAAATCCAATTTTGGTCTTCAAAGAAAGAAAGGAATTAAATCCAAATGTCATCGCAGCTAAAGTACCTTGTCAACTGAAATATTCAGAAATGAAACATTATTTCTCTTTGAGTAGTGTTTTAGAAGAGCTAATTAATTGTCCAAGTAAATAAAAATAACCATTTTACTGCGATAAGAATGATAAGTGGCAGAGAACTCGAAAGAGATTAAATTTATTTAAAATTTTTTGGAAATACTGAAATACTGAATATTTGACAAATCTTTTGGTATCTTCAATTCAGAGAATTAAAATAAAATGCGCTTCAAAATTGCTTCAAATTTTCAGGATTAGACACTTTTTAATTAGTAAAATGAAAAACTTCAAATTTTTCAAATTGTAAAACAAAATTCCTAATTTTTAGAATTACAAAATTCGAATAATTATAATTACAGATTTTCAAATCTTCGGAATAACGGAATTTTTAGTTTTTAAAGCCATGGAATTTCAAACTTCCAAAGTTTCCGAATTCAAAGATTTCTCGACTTCCGACACCATAAGTTTTCGAATTTTCAAAGTTGGGGAAGTCAGGATTCCTGTAAATCACGGTATATCGAATTTAAGCAGGTGCAAAATTTTAAACTTCCGAAATTGCGAAGATCAGATCGCGTTTAGATTCCTCGAAAAGGTCGAAAAAATGTTCTCGGCAGGCGTCGGACGAGACGTAAGACCTGTCATGAAATTTTGATATAATTCGAGGAAGGAATGCACAGGGAGGTCGAATAATTTCGGAGGAAAAATCTGCATTGTAAATCGACCGTTTAATAATTCGTGCCAAGGGTTCGGTAATAAGATTTCCCTCGTACTACCGACGCCGCTACATTCATGACGCTGCAGGCTGTAGGGGATCCCCCTGGAATGTGGCTAAACACGTCTTGGCTCGGGGCCAGTCCCGTTGCATCTCTCGCAGCTGTCGCTGCCACTTATCATTTCTTAGCTTCACCCGGCCAAAAGTAACTCGGGACAAAGGGATCTCGAGTTAAAACGCGTTTTCAGATGGTTTAAAGCTGATCTACAGCACCTTTCAAAAGCTGTTTAACGTTTTAGGTTAGGTACCAAAAACGGGATACCTGTGACTTCAAACTACGGCACTATTATTTTACTGATCATCTGGTACTGGTCTCAGGATAGTATTATATTAGGTATAAAAGTTGTTGGGTATTTAAATAATTCAAAAAATTTTAATTTTGAATCGGAAAATGATATATAATAAATAAATTATAAATTAAAAATGATATATGATTTGAAATAAAACAAAGATTTGTAAAGGAATAACTATTTTCGTCTTTTCGAAAAGATAAATTTGGTTTGGATTAAACTAATGAATAAAGTGAATTTATTTCTGTCATCATCTTTGAAATATTTTACTATCCAGAAGAATCTAATAAATAACTAAATAATTGATAAATAATGAGTTAAAAATAAAAATTAGAAAATAACTATAAAAGTAATGAAATTCGTTGTCAAAGTATACATATAAATACAACTTTTAGGTTATGTGTGAACGTCATGAAGCATCCAAACATAACCTACATGAAATCTTCATTGACGTACCTTCTGGACTGCTTAATGTAGTGTTTCGTAATGTCTTATCAACTTAATAATAAAATTTCATAGATTTTATCTTATATTTTATCACATAAATTAGGTTACGAAGTTGTCAAAGTGTTCAAAAAAGATATTTTACCTCAAGTATAGGTAGTAGTACACCTCTAGATATGGAACACTTCTCTCATTCTGCCCATTGAATCAGACTTCCATCGAGGTGCATTTTCTTCATATGTAGACCTTAATGGTGCACGGATTATGCTCCTCTTGCTTCGCCTTAATGCATTCTTTTCGTTACCACCATCATTTGAATCATCTGTACACTTTTCATTCGTCTCCTTATTATCCATATCTGACATTGGATCTATAACAATCCCCACTATCATATTCTCTGATTGCAACGATTACACATATAGGAATTGTTTAAACAAACTGTAGGTGATAATAGGTTAGGATTATTTAAGTATAACTAATGCCAGATTTAATTCTTTGAAGTTTACCAATGTGCATTCTGGATAGACAGGTAGGAATCAATTATTCATAGAAACTAATGAAGGTAATTAATTACGAAACCATTCATAATGTAGAAACCTAACCTCAACTTTCTTTTTCCATTTCTTATTCCGTTCCCTTTTTCTAAATATATAGTTTTCAATTTTTTGTAGTACATACTATTTTGTAATGTACTGCCTATATCATCTAGCATTTTTTGGTATCGTTATATATATATTTTGATTTTACATTCATTATAATGGAAATAGAGCGTACCTAACCTAAAAACGATTCAAATCTTATCGAAACTTTATGAAGTCATTGTGTGATATATTCAGCGATAACACAAGTACAATAAGTCGATTATTTAAATTTATTTGTTATAGCATTTCAATAAATTATTAAACAGGTTATTTCGATATTTATTTTGAAACGTTTAAGTTTTAAAACATATCGATGTTATCTGTATAGGTTCAAAGGATCATGTATACCGAGTTGTACCTTATTAAACACACTCGTTGTCCACTCCATGACTGGCACTAATTAAACTCGCTAAAACTTGTAATTTCATATGCCTTTGATATTTGATGTACGTATTTAATGCAAAAAACATCTTTGTTTCCTAAATTTGTATTTTGCGTAACAGAACTCCATTTATCGATTCTGACATGTCATTGAATATTATCAAGTTTTGAATACTTTATTAAATTTTCATAAAATTATGTTAAATTAATTAAATTAAACGAATTTTATGAGTTTATTTTATATTACTTTGTATCGCGAAATAAATTTGCACTTTGTTAAATTTCAAACATTCCTTCATCGTATTTAGAAATTTTGACACATATTTCAGGTTTTAATTAAATAAAAGAGGAGGGAATATTAAATAGTTTTGGCAATATTTTTGACTTGCTGAAAATTGGGAAATTTCTCGTTTAAAATGTAATAAACTACGTAATAGGAATTTTTAATTGCAACCACTGTAATTTGATATTTTTCATTGAGACATTCGCGAATAGAATTTTAGGATATCGAAATTTTAAATTAATTTATAATTCGATATTTTATTCGTTTATAATTTTATTTTTAATATTATATATCTTTAATTATTTTTAATATCAACCATCGATAGTCGAAAATTTCATCGATATATAGAAATATCAAGTCGAACCTATTTTTTGATAAAAATTACATATGTATTTTATTTTTGATATTTGATACTTCACAAAACGTATTTAATATAAATGCACAATAGCCTTAATTAATAATCAATTGCTTTAGCAAATATGTTTCATTCCTTATGAAAGTGAAATAGTAATTTTTGCTGATTTTTGGAACCTAACATATCAAATTATACATAATATTGTATTATAGTCACATTAATTACGTTACATATCAAATTACAACATTACGAAGAATATACACATATCAATTCCATCAGTTGGCCGATAATTATTATTTCATAAATAATCATGTAACATCATTTTATGACGTTATTAATCTTATTAGCATGTACATATTCAACGTTTCAATGAATTTAAATGAATTTCTCGGAGAAATGTTAATCAAATATCATTTGTCCATTATCGTCTTCCAATTTTCATTATATCGTTACATTTCCTTCAATCGATACATATCTCCTTACAGGTCAATGCCACCATATACGCGAGATGAAAATTTTATTTATTATTTAATATGGTTAAAAAATAATTTTATTGTTCCATTATCGTCGATACTTTTTATTCAATTAATTATCCTCGGATTGTTATCTTTAACGGTTCGTCGTATATAATCATGTATATATAATCATGTGTATATATGATTATTTGATGCACCGGCTGAAATAATTATCGGACTGCAGTTATCTCACCGATATCGATGCCTCCGAAATTTATATCAAACAGTGTTTTCTCAGTTAACTTTTCTTTTCTCCAGTCAATCGAATTTTTCGACGAATTAACAAAAGAAAATTGCTAGTAATAGGTTGCATTTTTCCCACATGTATGCATTCGTGAGACTGAAATGGGTACAGCCTGCTACGCGATGGATCAAATCGCACTGACCAATGATACCTGCTTATCTACTGATTATTTATACCGCCCATTTTACGAAGCAATTGCGTAGGAATTTTCAGTGATAATTGGAAAAAGATTATCAGATTAAAATTACGTTATTTTCTCCACTATCATGCAACTATTCCGTGCAAGCTCGGTTAAGAGTAATGATCGGCACCAACTATATGTGAAATGATTAATTACTCAACTTTCTTGGGGAATTGAGATCAAGGCCAATTTTTTCCATGGGTTATCATGCTTACCTGAAATCGTTGTATAACCACGGAAGAAATAGCGAAACACTGTCATAATTGATCATTATTTCAAATTTTTCGGCAGCCATCGTTTCTGTGCCGTAGCATTGAACTATAGCTATAATAATCGAGCAGATATCAATGGTTTATGCGATTTGATCCGTTGCATAGCAAACGTGCAAGTCTGTTTTGCCTCATGAATGCATACTTATAGGCGTAATTGAATGATTAGAAGCTACATTTTTTCACTCCTATCTCGGAAGACAAGATCGACTTTTTCTTTTCGAAGAAAAATAATTGTTGGAAATAATAAAAATCGCGAATATCGTAGATGTTGGTTTATTTTAGCTGGAAGAGAAAATTTGGCAGAATTTTTATTTGGATAACTGCCATTTTGGCATATTTATATTTATATTTAGGGACATTTATATTTTATGGCGAATTTTACTCCCTGGACACAAATTTACGTAAATATCTTTGAAAATAGCAAGAAAAATTGAAATTTTTAATTTTCTGATACTTAAATTAAATTTAAGTCTCCAATTTGTTAAATCTTTATTTTTGGGTAAAGGTAAATTAATTATCGTATTTATCAGTTATTTAGTCTAATTATAAAGATCATCGATTGTCTGCTGTCTAGCAAATAGAGAAATTACGAATTATTTGAGCTTGAAAAAGAAATATCTAGGGGAAATTTCTAGGGGTTTATTTCTAGGGGTGTTTAGTCTTCTCTGTCTTAACAGACTTATGGAAATTCGAAGATGGCGTGAATTTTAACTGCAGTTTACCTGTATTTATAACAACCAAAATAAAATCCTGATCAAAACAATAATTTTCAATTTCCAAATCATTATTTATGATTACCGGTAATCAAACAAAATTTTAACAATTTCAAACGACGATTCGGAATTAAAATTATTTAAGACCAATTATAATTCTTATACCGTGACTTTCTTCCACTTATGGTTACGAATTACTATCTCTGCAAAAATAAAAATATGTGACATTTCGTTTCATTTCATCCCACTAGTATTTCAAAAATTTATCCTGATTACGATCACACATAGTCTCTTGGTAATTGCAGATGATAGGAAGCATTATTAGAAATTATTTTTATACTAATCTAATTTTTCATTTTTAAATTATCAGTGCATACCCTGGAATATACGCAACTTCTTACCTTTAGATTCAACTCCTGCTGTCTCTCAGACGAAATCTAGAATGGTGTTCTCGGTGCCCTCAGCGAGCGGCTTCTTCGATCGTGCTGTTGTGAATTAGGTTCCTCGAAAGTCGTTCCCGGATATTAGATTGCAGCGTGGTCCGGTTTCCGCTCAGATCTCTGAGGAGAAAGAGTTTCTCAGATTTCTTTCAATCGCCAGTAAATTCGGATTCAAGTGTCGTTTGGTGTCTTGCAGACAGAGACTGCCTGAACCATCACTGATAGCAAGTTCCTTTATCACTGGCTGATAATTCAATCGCTCTTTGGTCCCTGATTACGCTCGGTTCTTTGCAAACGAAAATTTCTAAACGTAAATATTATTTTCGTGGGATTGGTTCGCGATAATTTTTCGTGCAGGTAAATACTATGTGCCTATGTACAATCGGAAATAACTTTGATGATAACGACGGTAAGAGAGATACTTTGTTCACGCTGTATATTTACTATACAATAGTATATATTTTTATATATATTTTTTATATTTATATATTTTTGTATATATTTTTATTAATTATAGTATATTTACTATACATTTTTGTTACTATATCTTCGTAACTGGAATTTGAGATCAGAATCGACCCAACGACACCTGTGATACCTTCACGTGATTCTGGATTTGAAAAATTCAAGAATTTCTGACAATAGAGTACCAAAATGATTAGAGTAGGGAGATTAGTAATGGAAGATCTTTTATAGTAAATGGATAAAATGATTTTGAATGTTTGAGAATTTTTGAGAATGAATCAAAATTATTTTTCGTTTCTCGCACTAGGTACCAACAATTCTGATGCAAAAGTGAATGAGTATAGTACACCTGTGTTATGTAGATTGAGATCATTTTTCGATTTTACGAAGCGTTATGTGTGCTCTGAAAGTCATCTTTCAAAATTCACGTTTTGCTTTTTGGATAAGGAGATGATTTTATCTAAAACGACACTGATTTAGCAATTTTTCTTTATAAATTAATACTAATATGATTTAGAATGTTCACGTGTATTTGATATACAGTGACGACTACTTTGTTCTAGTGCACCTGACCTAGTATCACACTGTTAGTATAGTTCAAATTTTTCTTTATTCGTAACCATAATCTGTCGATAATTTCAAGTAAATTATAAAATTGTTCTTTTCTTTTTTAAGAGTTTCATGTAGAAATGTTTCACATTTGGAAAGAAAAATTTTCTCAGCGAATAACAATGCAATATTAAAATTGCTTTTGTTGAATGCACGGATTAAGAGAGTATCGATACTTTATTTGTTATGTATGTATAAGTAAAGTGGGAATATTATTTCAATATTTAAATATTTTTTTATTCGCATAATTAATTGACCAAAGTTAAAAATTTTCTCTGATCAATATTGGACGAGGATATTTATTTCCAGTAGATTAGTAATTTTTGCCTGTTCTTCTATTTGCATAATTAATCGATAGAGCTTAATTTTATATTTTAAATTCATATCTGAATTTTCGTTTCCAATAAATTAGTTCTCACGTTTTTGCCGAATATCAACGCTTATTATTGAATTTCAGAGAAATATTTTCTCTTGCTTCTCTAAATAATATATACTTACGCGACTAATTAATTTTTGGAAATTTCAATTTCGTCGGTTCTATTACAAAATGTAATGTCAAAACTTGTGGGTGTTTGTACTGTTAGAATTTCTTCTCTGATTCGATTCATAGATATGACATTTCCTCTCCATAATGAAAATTTGCATGTGCAATATTTATTACGATAAATTTATTCGCTACGATTCATGTCGAATCAATATTATCGATTAGTTTTGCGCCAAATTTAGTCATTTTGAAATGTCGAAGTAATTCTATATCTTTTATGAGCGAATATAACACGTTAAACGCAAACCTATTTTTATTTATTTATTTATTTTTCACATTGGAGGCATATTAAATACAGCAAATACATTTGTACACAAATATTAAAGGAAAACCTTATTTTTGTTTCAAATTTTAGAAGTTTGGGAATTTTTACTAATTTTTAATATTCTACCTATTTTTAATTTTCGGTTCACTAACTACTTTCAGTTACTCTTAATTTTGTTTAAATTTTCTTTTCATTAATTTCTGCATAGGATATAATAATACATAATAATATATTACTCATTTTATAATACTAACACTCCCATATCTAGTTATTGAAAAGACACATACTCAATGTTTTTATAACAGAAAAATAATATATGTCAGAAAATATTGTAATATTGCATATTTGCAGATAATAAACAAATTACCCTGAAATATACTAGACATTTGAATTGCTCATTTAAAGATGTCAAGTCATACTCGAACAAGCAAAGCAATGGGTTGAAAATTATTTAAATTTTGTATTACGTGAATTATAAAAATAGTTTTCTTTTTAAATGCACTACTGTCGATCTCTGTTGAAAATCGTCCTAATGTTTAATAATTCACATAGGTGTTCATAGATTACTTACGACTTACCGTTTACCAGCAGAAACTGATTAAAGTAGATTTCGCGTAGGTTGGGAACCAATAACTGACTGACAAAGCTGTCATAAAATGTAATCCTTTTGAAGCACGAAGTTGTAGCATGAGAGGGGGAATTATAGATGAATCGAGGAGCTAGAGATACTCAGATTAATATCCAAAGATTTTTATAAATTTAAATTCGAGTTATATTATAACAATTTCTTTTGTAGAAATTTAATACAGTAAAAGTTCGGTTAAATTTAACTATTATTTTGACAATTTAATTTACATGTATCATCCCTACTTTTCCCCCACCATTCAGTAGTTTATGCTTAGCAGAACCTGATATAGTTGACAAGGAGAGGGAATGACATTGAAAATTATCAAACAATCATAGAACAAATGAGTTGAATTATTAACAAATTAATAATTAATTGTTAATTTATAAATGAAAAATAAATGATTAAAAAATAAATTATTAATAAAAAAATAAATTATTAATAAAAAATAAATTATTAATGAAAAATAATTCTTTTAATCCGTATGTAACACTCGACATGATATACAGGGTGCCCCATCATTACCCAGCATTAGTTACGATTTTTCAAGTACTTGTAAAACAGAAGATACTTGTGATATATATTTCGTAAGGCAAGGTAGCATTCCTACCAATTTTCTAATAAAAGGATATGAACAGAATCGAGACGAATTGGGCAGAAAACAGTGACACGATCCTCCATTTCATTATCGATGCAAAGACAAATATATTTTTCAAATGAATTGTTAGTGTAGTTGAATGAGTAACACTCCTTTGTTTGCAATTGCGCTATCTATGATGTAAATATAATATGTACCAATGCCGTCTAGTGTGAGTGGTGTTTAGAAAAATGTTCAGAAGAATGTGTCAGAATGAAACAGTCCTCATGGAATTATCGAGGCGTGAATACCACAGTAAAATCGTGATAAACAGTAAGAGAGAAAGAGAGAGAAGACAGTTCTAGAAAGAGTGAATCGATTTATTATTTAAGTAGTAAATATATTATTTGGGACTTAAATTTAAATATTATATTGAATTTATAATATAAATTTATAGACTTATTTAAATATTTTTTGTTTAAGTTACACTTTGTGTTTCTTTTTAATAATAGTGAAAGATATATTATTGTCCATTCTACTCACGTGAATAGCATGATTGACGAAATATGAGTGCGAGTGAGCTTCGAATCTTTACATGAATTTCAATGTTATTGGTCACAACAGAATAATCTAGGATCATATTATAAATCTTTTTTGGAAATTTGGGAAAACTTCGATTCAGTTTCCAATAAAGTAGAGTTCAACAGTATGTTGTGTACGTATACTGCTACTATACTGTTGCTATATAGTTGCTATACTATGTATTATATGCTATATGCTATATTCTATATACTATATACTATACTATATAGTTACTATATACTATATTAGATTATATAGTTGCTATAATATATACTATATACTTGTTACAATATATGAAAATCTATATTAAAAAAATTTTCGCAGCAATTTCTTACATCGATACACAGATAGTGAATAGAAATGATTCTTTTAGGCTCTATGCAATAGTGTACCTGCAGAGACTATCCGAACGTTTATCTGGCCCGATGATTTCTGAAAGAACGAATGTGCCAGAGATGCCGATATTCGATACGAATATAACGTACATGAGGGTAGTAGCGATGCCGAAGCAGATAAAAATCAAGATGGGTACCGTGCAGAGCCGGAAAGAAGTCTCGTGACAGATTGACAAGAGGAGTCTGTTCTTTCCACCTGGCTTCACCTTTGGTGCTTTTGAAATTCATACTTTCATCCTCTTGACGGCTTATTCTGACATAATAGTGGAATAAGTTACGTCGGCACTTCCTTTACCTTATGGTATTGCACGGTAGTTATCACGTATTGCAGACGTATCACGAGATATCGAATTTTCCATGTGTCAGTCAAGTGCAGGTCGATAACAACTGGCTGCTAAACGCGATTAACTCTTCAGAGATAGTATACACATGGTACCTGATTTCTTTCTATGCAATTAGTATTTTGCGTAATCGAAGTTTCCAGAACGTATTGAGATTAAATTAGATCGAATTATGTATTGTTTATTGTATTACCAATTGTGTAATACCGCAAATGGAGTCAAGCTTTCGTATATTTTTCAAAGAAATCTGTGATAATTTGATAAATTAATTGGCAATATTTTTATTTGGTGCAGTGTAATAGATTTTGAAATATTTCTTAGAGTGCTCTGCATGTGTGAACGTGTGTTGACATGTGTTGACATTGATAGCATGTGTCTATCAGTACATCATCAATGTGTTCTGTTCATCCTTTTTTATTGTACTATATAATGTAATCCTATTTGTAGATTTATTAAAATTTGTATTTCTGTCTACTAATTCTATTTCTAGCCAATAAGGAAAATTTTTCTTACTAATTTTTACCATCGTGTTAGATCTATTACATTTTGACTAATTAGGACCACATTCCTTTCCACTTTCAACTTAATAGCCGTGTATAGTTGTTTGTAGACCTTGAAAGAGGTTTTCTAATTCGTGTGTAATTATCTAGGTTATGGGGACACCTCATCAATTACCATGATTTCTCGATACGTTTCACAAATTAATATTTTAAGCAACTTTTTTAAAGGTGTATACTATTTTCAAATTCGATGCAATAGTAGCAATAGCTTTTTGTATATATTTCGGAAATTAAAGTTTAGGAAGAGTAATAAGTAATAAAAAAAAATTATTCAAGATACATAAATAAATATTAATAATATTATAATAATTTTCAATGTAACGAGAATTGGAATTGATTATGAGAAACTGTGCATTGTGACATTGTTTAATTTTTAATTAGCCACTGTGTACCTACTTTATTTATAATATAGTTATACAAATTTTGCTCGTATTAAAATACGTTAAATGTGATTTTAATCTCGTGCCAGTGTATTTCATTTTTATTAGGCTTGGCATGAGAAATTTACGACGAATTAAACTCGTTATTGTACTATAAGGGGTTGAAGAAAATTGCTGCAGAATTACCCTCAAGAAATCATTCTCATTACATAATAAAAATCATGTGAAATAATTTTTAGGCTTGTTTGATATAGTATACACCCTCATCGATCAGAATTTCGAAGCTTACGTTATAAAAGAAATCACCTGAAGTTGAAAATTGAAGGGGTGGAGGGTAAAAATATTTTTGTAATTCATTATCTATATAAACTGAACATATAAATCATTCATACATTATATACTATTTAAAATTACATGGTTAAAAATCTAACAAGTATTTCAAAAATATTCTGCTTTTACAGTATAGTTAGTGTCATTAACCCTAAACCTACCACAGCTTAAATGATTATTTTTGAACTTTTGATTTAAAATTCAATATTATCACTTAGGTCACTTGACTTTGGTCATATGATTTGTCTTTTAGTATATATATAATTAATTTTTCAATGTTATTCAATTTTTCTAAAAATCTTCCTTTCCTTTTTTCAACTATTGGTACATTTGACCGACCATGGTTGGTTTAGTATTGTGGTTACTATACAATTATATAACTTGTTACATTATATGTACTACATTATATGTACATTCTAGTCCGATAGTCGAACTTCGACTGATCTCTCGAGGTGACTGAAGGACTTAGCTAAGACAACAGCAGAGATTAGGGTTATCAGCCAATTTTCAGATGGCAGCTAAAATAGCTATGTTAGAACAAGACATCTAAGGTATCGAATAATCATTATTTGAGAAACCCAAAAACGAAAAGAAAGAAAATAAGATCCAAGATAGATGTTCATAGTATTTTCATAAAAATAATAATACAAAGTTATATGATTAACAAAAATTATTTCAACAAGCTGTCATAACAATCATAAGAAAATCCACGGGTTCTCATGCAAATGAGCTAATGCTAATTGGTAATGAACTATATCTCGATAAAATTTTGTTTGTTTATCCTTATGTTCGTGAATTTTTGAAATATTTCAATTTTTCTGTAATATAGTGATTACAAAACTATTGTGTGTATCTACTATTGTGTGTATCTACTATTGTGTGTATCATACTATTGTATGTATCATACTATTGTGTGTATCCACATTTATTCTCAACTTATGACATATTTGTTGTATCAGTATTACTTTATTGCGAAAGAGAAATTCGTTTGATACGTGGTTGGTTTGTTTCACTGAAATCTTCGAGATTTTATATAGTACTCACATGTTAACTTTGGGAAACTTCAATCGTCGGTACCAGTGTACCTTAAGCGTGTCTTCGACAAGAGAAAAAGATAGACTGACGACTGTTGTCATTTGTTATTGAGCATTCACTGGACGTGGTTTTCACGGTCGTTAAACAGAGCCGTGTGGAAGCGTGTTTTGAATTCCATTGACTTCGTAATACACGTCTCACGATGACCCTAATGATCATCATATCTGATGACGCTGAAGATAGTATTTTAAGGTTGGTCAATTTTTGGATCTACATTCCTTTTAATCTTCTTCACTGTTATAATTATTTTCTTTTTATTATAGTGAGTGATTTTGTGATTTTATTGGAAATTATTTATTTATGAGATATATATTTTATAGAATTTTTAGCAGTAAGTGCAGTGTCTTTTTTGAATTTATTTATTTATGGGATATTATATATTTTATAGAATTTTTAATAGTAAGTGCAGTGTTTCTTTTGGAATTATTTATTTATGGGATATTATATATTTTATAGAATTTTTAATAGTAAGTGCAGTGTCTTTTTGGGATTTATTTATTTATGGGATACTATATATTTTATAGAATTTTTAATAGTAAGTGTAGTGTCTTTTTCGGATGTTATTTATTTATGGGATATTATTTTATGGAATTTTTAATAGCTGGTGTGACGACTTTGTTGGAAGTTATTTATTTATGGTATATTATACATTTATATGGAGTTCTTATATATTTTATGGAATTTTTAACAGTAAATGCTGTGTCCTTGTTGGATGTTATTTATTTATGGGATATTATATATTTATATGGGGTCCTTGTATCTA